TCTTTTTTTTAATTCAATGACATTGCTTGTTATTTTCAGCAGAGGAACAGCGGATACTTGGTTGAGCTTCAACGAGTAGTAAGCTTTTTATCAGCAGCGTCTATAATGTGTTTGGACTGTTTTCTTCTAAGTTTTTTCGTTTTATATCATTTTGTTTTTATTGAGTAATTAATTGATTATTATGGTAGAATGATTGATTAAGAAAATGATTTTAGCATGGTTCAAAACCTGTTTCATCTGGTTTTATATAGAAAAATGATTATCTAAAACTTTTCGGATATCATGTTTGATCAAGATTTTGGTCGATGGCAGTTCGCTTCGCACCAATCGATAAATTCAATAAAAAGCTGTTTAGAGAATTTGTATAGATTTTCAAAGTTTCCTTGGTTTTTTTTGTAAACATTATTTTGAATTTCATACAAATTATTAGCATATACTGTGACCGATTCGAACAAGGGTTTTGGGGGGCTCGAAAAAATTTAATAATATTGGTACAATAGAGATAAACTGTTTTTCGAGCTTGACATACTGAGCATTGTGCGATAAATATTTGTAACGATGAGCGATTTATCCAACTATAATTTGTTGCAATATATTCGAGACATTTGTCTCGATCATCATCAGCACTCTGATGATGGCTTGTCTGATTGATATCGAACATATCCTGATATAAAAGAACAGGTTTAACTTCTTTAAAATCACATAACAGTTGATGACTGCCGATGAGACGAAGCGTGAATGTTTGTTTACACCAGCGAGAAAAACGTCCGGAAACTTTTCCAGTAGATAACTTGCTCTGAAGTACTTAAGTCAGTCCAAAAGTAGTGGCGCAGGCATATCAATTCCTTACAGTAAGCTCTGAGGAAGTTTTTTTTTCTATATAGTCTGATAGAGAAAAGAAAGCTCTATTTTTCTATGCTATTTGATCATACTGTAACTAATACCATGATAATAAATTTTTCGTAAGACTTTTTTGTTAACGTGTTTCCTCGTTGTACTAGCTCACAATGAGTCAGATGGGTTAGTTTTTTAGTTCACTAATACATTGTATTAACAACCAAAATATACCATTAGATGCAGCATGAAAAGCTCTACAATTTCCATAAGACCACTTATTTTCTAGTTGCGCTTTTTGTTTTCAAAATAGACAAAATTTTGAGTGATCGAGCTTTGGCCGTTGTAAAAACTGATTGTATAGAATTTTTCTTTTTTTCAAAACAATTACAATAAACTTTACTATGTAGATTGTAGAGCTTTTCACCCTGCATCTTCTGGTGTACTTTGTTTTTCTTTTGATAAGATATATCAGCTGATAAAATGATCAGATAACAAAAAATGAATTCGTCGTGTATCAAAAACATTATCTTTTTCATGGTTGAAATTTGATCGCTCAAAATTTAGTCTATTTTAAGATCAAAATGTGCAACTAGAAAATAAGTAGTCTTATGGAAATTGAAGAGCTTTTCATGCTGCATCTTATGGCATATTTTGGTTGTTAAGGCAGCTAGTAAGGAATTGAAAACTGCGACGTACAACTTACAACGAGGAAACATGTTAACGAAAAATTTATTATCATGGTATTAGTTAAAGTATGATCAAATAGCATAGAAAAATAGAGCTTTCTTTTCTCTATCAGACTATGTAGAAAAAAAAAGTTTCACAGAGCTTTTTATAAGGAATTGATATGCCTGCGCCACTACTTTTAGACTCACCTAAGTACATTGATTATTTTTTCGCTTTGATCACGAGTGATAACACCTTTATTACGAAGTTTAGGATTTAATTTATCAATATGTTGTTTTAGCGAGGTCAGAAAATTTTTCACGAGCAAAATCATGAATATTATGATGAGAAGAGTTTGTTTCTTGCAGCGACATTGTTGATATCGCAAAAACAATATATTGAAAACTAGTTAGTGCTCAATGGATTTTGTTTAAGAAAATGAAAAAAAATTGGTAATTAAATGATAAAAAATAATCATATAAACAGCTAACGAATTCTGCCTAGGCAAAATTGAAATTGATAGAAGCGCCAACGAAAAAACTAATTTTGCCTAAAATTCAATTTTGCCTGTGACATATACATGCTAACATTACATTGAGGATCTCGACGTTTCCTTCGTTTACAACGATAATAAACCTTTCGACCTTGTTCAGTATAATTTGTATAATGTTTAGACCATTGATTTTCGATTGATGCTTCTGCTTCACAAGGATTGTCATAGGTAGCTTCTTTAATCCAATATTTTAATCTTCTTTTTTTATTAATTTTTTCATTTATTTCATGGTTTTCTTCGACCATTTCCGCATCAGATGTTTCACTTTCATATTGGGGGATTTGTATTACTTCCATCTGTTTTACTTCTTGACATTCACCTGATTGTGAACGAACGGATAGGAGCAACCACTGCATATATAGCACACATTTTTATTTTTTTACTTATCCTCTTAT